TTTATATATATATAAATAAAAAAGAATAGAATATAATAGCAGAGTTGGAAGGGACCTTGGAGGTCTTCTAGTCCAACTCTCTGCTCAGCAGGAAACCCTATACCATTTCAGACAAATGGTTGTCCAATCTCTTCTTAAAAACTTAAAAAGTGTTGGAGGGGGACGCTGCAAACATCCTAACTCTGAAAAATGGTCCTCAGTCACTTTTTTCGTGCCGTTGTAACCTTGAACCATTACTAAAGGAACTGTGATAAGTCGAGGAGCATATGTATTGGGCTGTTTTGGTGGGGAATGCAGATTCCTGACCTGATGTAGCAAAGCAGAATGTGCATTTTAGTCCCTGCTGGCTGGCTTCCTCCCACAGATTCCCTCCTTTTAAATAAGGTAAGTCTTCTAAATCCAGCCTTTCTCAACCTGGGCAGCTTGAAGTTGGGTGGACTTCAATTCCCAGAATTCCCCAGTCAACACAGGTGGCTGGGGAATTCTGGGAGTTGAAGTCCACCCAACTTCAAGCTGCCCAGGTTGAGAAACACTGTTCTAACTACTCTCAATTGTTTACTCCTTCTGCAGGAAGCCGCAGCAGCGGTTCAAACCGCAGTGGCAGCGAGAGACGGAAGGACCGAGACCCCAAAGCCGGGGAGTCCAAGTCGGGTGGTAGCGGCAGCGAATCGGACCACACCAGCCGTAGCAGCATTCGGCGGGAGCGAGCAGCCAGCGAATGCTCCGTGCCGGGCAGCCAACGTAGCCATCACTCCATGGCTCACAGCGTGCGCAGCCACCACAGCCAGCAGTCTTATGGCCCTCCCGGCCTCCCACCTCTCTACAGCCCTCCCATGCTCCTGATGCCGCCACCCCCTTCTGCCCTGGGACCTCCTGGGGCTCCCCCGGGCCGAGATCTGGCCTCGGTGCCCCCTGAACTGACCGCCAGTAGACAGTCATTCCGAATGGCCATGGGCAACCCTAGTGAGTTTTTTGTGGATGTAATGTGAAGATCCCGCCCCCCCCCTCCCTCTGCCTTTCTGGGCTGCCCCCCTCCCCTGGTTGGTTTGTCTCCTAGAAAGAGCACACTCGGTGTGAGATGCATCTCTTGTCTGTCTCTCTCTCTCTCTGTCTGTCTCCGTCTCTCTTTCTCTGTTTTGTTTTTTTGACTAGGCTTTTATGAAAAGGGGTTGAGGAAATCAAATGAACTAAACCAGTGGTCCCCAACCTTTATGGCTTGGAGGGGAGGAGAGGGGAACTGGCTCACCGCTACTGCAACTTGAGCCAGCCAGCCACTTGTGTGACCTGGTTCTGGACAGGCCACAGCCCGGGGTGGGGTAGGGTTGGGGACTCCTGAACTAAACTGTTTGATTCTAATCTTTCCCGCAAGTGTCTCCAGCAGCTTCTCCCGAGCACCGCCCTCCCCATATTGTGATTGCAGAACAGCCCTAACCCAGCTTGTATTTTTACCTGTTAACCTGCACGCTAATCCATTAATCTGCACCCATCCGGGACCTCCGCTGCTCGCCCATTGTTGTTGTTTTTTCCACGCCACCAGCCCTAAACACCTGCCCTCTTTCTCCTCCTCGCCCCTCTTGTGTTCCTCTCTGCCGAGCAGCCAAGAATTATGGGGTCTTTGACTTCCTTTGAGTTGGCCAGCCGTGGTTGGGGAGAGCGGTGGTGGTTTGGTTCCTCCTACCTCCAGGAGAGGAAGACCCAGAGCCTTTTCAGCCTGCTTAGGGGGCAGAAGATGACTTCTTGGTTGAGAGATGTCCTTCCTTTACCCGTCAGCCCGGAAGGGAAGCAGGGCTGAGCTTCTCTTCAGCAGCAGCCTGGCCTTCACCCATGAGACTCTTGAGATGGACCTGCTGCATGGTGGCGCCTTCCCCTTCACCGCTGAATCCTCAAACCAGGACGAAGGTTTTCCTGGGGAAAACGCTGGAGGCTAAACTTGGTTTTTGGATGCCTGATATCTGGAAGAAATCCAGGATGAGATGGCCAGGATGCTGTCTCTACTCTAAGGCTAGATTTTTCATGATATCCAAAACTTTTTTCCTTCTGAAAAAAATAAAACTTGAGTAAATGCAAAGAAGACTCTTCTCAAAACCCCAGGATTGCTTGCTTGCTTTTTGGAACACCAGTGATGATCATAAATCACATTTGGGTTTCACGCATCTGTAGATTCCCCCCCCCCCCCCGCTACCATTTTCCCCACGAACATAGTCTTCCATCTCTGTGGGAAATTTTGAGTTTCTTCCCATCTCGCCTTGCCCTTATTTTGTTTTAAACCCCATCATTGGTTCTTTCCCTTTCATTGCTATGTGGATTGGCACTGCCTTTGTTCTTTTGTGTGCGTGTGTGTGTGTGTGTGTGTGTGTGTGTGTGTGTGAAAACAATCCCAAAACAAAG